CTATCTATCTATCTATCTATCTATCTATCTATCTATCTATCTATCTATCTCCGTCTGTCTGTCTCTGTCTCTCTGTCTGTCTCTCTGTCTGTCCGTCCGTCCGTCCATCCATCCATCCATCCATCCATATCTCTTATTTATCTATCTATCTAGAGCCGAGGTGGCGCAGTGGTTAGGGTGCAGTACTGCAGACGACTTCAGCTGACTGTTATCTACAGGTCAGCGGTTCAAATCTCACCGGCTCCAGGGTTGACTCAGCCTTCCATCCTTCCGAGGTGGGTGAAATGAGGACCCAGACTGTGGGGGCGATATGCTGACTCTGTAAACCCACTTAGAGAGGGCTGAAAGCCCTATGAAGCGGTATATAAGTCTAACTGCTATTGCTATTGCTTTAAACAAGCAATCTCTGACCATTCTAGAACTGTGCATGAAACAAAAGGCTCCCACGAAAAGCAGATGTAGCAGCATGGATCAAGACTTGCCTTCCACATACACAAAAAAAAAGACCACAGTTCAGGAGAACGTTCTGCTAGCGCTTGAGGAAATGCTCTTCCACCATCTCTTTCCTCCTCCGTCTCCGGGAATTGGAGGGGAAAAAAAGGAGTTTGGAAACTTCCTTCGTCAACTCTCCTCAACAGGCATTCAGCTTATCCAGAGCCTCCCAGAGCCTCACTTCATTTCATTACCCCCTGCAGTTACGGGCTTTATGGATTTTAGGCAACCCAGGGGTAGAACAGATGCCTTGCCTAGCTAATCCAGTTTCGAGTCCTTCCACTGATACAATTAAAAGCTTGCAACTGTATAATTAAGGAAATTCTCCATCTGCCAGCAGAGATCTTGGTTTGGTTTTGTGAAAAGCAGGCGCGACAACATTTCTGTTCTTAACAGGCAGGCAAGCGAAGTTCAGGTGTCGAAGTTGGGAAAGAGAAAGCTCGGGAAAAGGGAGTTCTTAGAAACAGACAAAATTAGACGCTATTTCAATCCACTATTTTTTTTTTTAAAAAATATATCTTTCTTATCTTTTAGTGACAAAGGCATTTTTGCCTGAGAGCGATGGCCTGTCAAAGAAAGGGAACCCACAATTGGACGCTTTGATGTACTTTCCTCCCAGCCAACAAGTTGTAAATTCATGAATGGTGAATAGATAAAGGGACAACGTTTTGGAGGATGACACAACTCCGACGTCTGCAATACCACACCTGAGTCAGTCTCGAATAATGTTTAAGACACTGAACTAAAAACTTGAGTTCTTGTCCTCCTTTAGATATGAGGAATAAAGCTTTGGGTGAGTTGCTTTTTCCTCAGCCCCAGCAGTTTGTTTTCGTGGGGGAAACGAAACTTAAGTATAGAAAATAAAGGCAGGCTATACATCTAATAAATAAATACGTTCTTAACAATCTTCTTTCTCTCACTCCCTTCTTCCCGTGATTCTCAGGAGAATTTACACCTGTAATTGCCTCCTTAGCAACCACCCTTTTTTTCTTCATTCTTTCTTTCCTGCAGCAATGCCCAGCGGGGGTTTCTTCGCAGCCCACCTGAGGACCCCGAGTCTTACCTGCCTCTGGTGCTCTCGATCTCGCCTGCAAAGACTCCGAGACCCTCACTCCGGCCCCAGCCAGCCAAAAAATGCATCCAGTGCTCTGCGCTAAGTGCTTAGTTCCTCCCAGTGTTTTATGCTCAGCCACTCAGCCAATTACATGCCCGAGGCTAATCTGCTGGCAAGACTCCCTCAGCCGAGACTACAAAAAGAAATTGCCAAGAAAATACATAACTCTCGAGGCCCAAAATGCAGGTGTACGACCAAGCCCAGGCAGCTGGCCGCGGTGTTAAAGATCAGCCTAATGATGAAAGAACACATCTAGGCTTCTTTTAAAAAGCCAAGGTGGGCTCTTGCCTGTCAAAAGTTTTTCGCTATGAGATGAATGGAGTTTCCCTATACAGAAATAGTACAGCTCCTGCTGATACTGAGTAAGCACTGAATTCACAACGGGGGGGGGGGGGGGGGGGGAGACCATTGTCTTGCTATTGTGATTATGGATTTGGAGGCATTTGTCTGGTTGGAACTGGGCAGCTAAAGTAGTGAGCCTGTCTCTGACACAGCCAAGAATTTGTGGGGTTTTT